ACCCAGTCTATCAGCTATAATCATACTGGGTTTGGCTGCAGGATCTGATTATTATTTTGGAAGAGTATGTTTGGCTAAGCAGGTAAAGAGACTGTACTGAAAGTTACACAAGACACATAGAAAGGCAGACAAACTCCATGTTATTAAACAGAGAATTTTTTTTCAGGAGCTGTCATCATTCCTCTAGCTAGAATAGGACATTATTTATGTCTGTTATGAACAAGCACACATTTCGGAGTTTGAAAAGTACAGCTCTGAAGACAGGTCATTGCTGTTGGCTCCTTGCTATGATGGTTAGATATGCTGAAGGTTAGAAAGTCTCAGAACCTCCAGCATCACCAACTATAAGCCCAAATGACTGGTTTTGACTGGCTTAATTCAAAGCCATACGTCATCTAAAAGTTCCTGAAGATGGTCTTGCCCCTTACTGACTTGTTGATAAAACACATAATTGATTATCCTTTTGACTATCAGCACTTGTTTGGTAAATCCCTGAAAACCAAGCCCAAATGTATTTTTTGTTCAAGGCAGAGGGTCCTGACTCTGAGATGTTTATATAGACACAAAGCATTCCCTAAGCATCACAGAGATTTTGAATGTGAGCAGATCCCTGTCTCTGAACAGACCTGACTGTCACACAAACCCTTGGTATATTAAGGTATGAAGACAACACTGTTTGTTCCAAGTTTAATGAGGAGACTACTTCTCTGTGTACCATAGACATCTGATGCAGCATGTACCAGGTAGTTGCAAAGCCATGGTTCCAGTAAACTTTGTGCACAATGTAAAGTACAGAATGTTTTGTGAGAGACCATAAATGCTGAGATGTTTCCACTGATCGTAAAAGATAACCTAGAAGCTGATTTAATTGTCCTGTTACTGTCTAGGATCTCTGCTCTGGGAAGCAAAATGCTCTGATAATATGATGTGTAACACCAAAACCGTACCAAGTGTTTCAAATCAATATTGCTGGTTTTGCAAGTCTGAGAAGTATTGATCATATAGTTTTAGACCTGTGTGAACCAAATCAATCATCTGTTGATGTACTGCACTTCAGTCCTTTACCTTCTGACACAGGCTGTGATGATGGGTCTTTTTGGGGGGGAGAAGGCAGAGGGAACAGAAAACTAACAGAAAATTCCTGCTTGATTTACAAGAAAGATTGAAAGGTACCACTCTGTAACACAGTCCAGTGTTCTTGCGAAGAATCTAATGTCTTTGCTGCACAGACCCCTGTGTAAAAATAGACATCTTGCAGGGTGGCAGTTCAAAATCCCTGAGGATTACTGATTGGTTAGGAGATTATGGATACTCCAGTCTGAATTTGAAATAGCAAATGAAAGTGCTGAGGCACTGATTGTTGACACTGAACTGCTAGCCCCCTCACCCTTCCTGTAAAGTTACAGATACTGAAGGCTCTGTCACTGATTTGTAATGGTACATTTACTTCTGCAATCAGTCGTAGAAGGGAAACTATTTCTGGTGTTTATTACTTCTAATAAACTGGGGAGCTTGTAGAGAATAACAGAGAGAAAAGTCACAAGACCAGCAAGTCACTCAGCACTATGTACGACACCGTACTGAAGATACAATCACTACTATCAGGGTTGTAAATACATAAGGCACTCAACACAAAATTAGTCACTATCAAGGTCCCTGCACGGAGCAGGCAAGGAATAAAACAGGTCTTTCCAGGCCCTGGACTTTAAAATACATTAATCAAAGACACGTCATATTGCTGATGAACATTTTATCCCTTGCTACATGCATGGGCAGCAACTTGTGCTGGGAATCACACTCCTGTTGCCTCCATCAGACTTCCCTGCCAGTACAAGTGAACCCTGGTAATGGATATGCCTAAGAAGCTCAGAATCATAGCTTTTAGGATACCGAATAAGTAACACTATCTTAAATCATAGCTGTAGCTTTACTTGTGGAATTTAGAAATAAATTGATTTCTCTTCAAGGGAAGTCTTCTCCCTCATCTGCTGTATGTTCCCTCTTGGAAGAAGGAAATGTTACTATGGGACATACTGCCTGCTGAAAAATCACACTAGGAAAAATCTTAAACCCCAGTAACTTATGTATCTTTACATAAAAAAGAAAAATCTTAAGCCCCAGTAACTTTAACCATATCTAAAAAGATATATTTAGTATGTTAACTCAAACTGTATTTTGCTAATGTCATAAGAATTTACAGCATGAAATTAATTATACTATTACATATGAAGTTAAATGACTCACACAGTACATACACTGAATTATCTCCACCTTTTGGTATGATGGAAATAATGAAATCATGAGTGTATGTATTCATGTCACTATTTAGTGCCCTGAGGATAGTGGACATGAGGGTGCTTCAAGTAGCAGTCTGCTGATACCATCTAATGGACTCTGCTTGTCCAAATAATTTCTCCTTATGTATGTGCACTTCTCCTTATGTATGTGCACTCACTGGGCACATACACACCAGCAATGAAATTCATCTTCACAACCACTCGAAGAAGCAGCCAAAAGCATCCCAGATGAGTTATTCATGCTCTTTTAAAAATTGGGCAATTAAAATAACTCTCTGTGCTTTGGCCAACTTTGATGGAAAACTCAGCTATACAAATTAACACACACACAAACTGCATTAAGCAAGCAGCCATCTCTTTATACTGTTACTGTACATCACAATATTAATCTGGAGAGCCCAAAACAAATACGCTTTTTAGTACTCTAGAGAAAATATTTTCTTAATCCTGACATTTTCATATTTATTTCTGAAAATTTGCCAAAAAACTTGCATACTCTTCAGTGGTAAGACTTACACTTTCCAACCTATATCCAACCATAGGGTTGACTTTCTGAAGCACAATTTATACTACTTTGTCCAGTCCAATTGCAGTTATGTTAAAGAGGGGGAATGCCACCACTTTAAAACATTATTAAATCTGCTAAAATAGAATAACTGCACACCATGTTTTCCCAGTTATACCTCCAATTATACATTCTCCTGCCAACTTAAATAAATATTGTATCAGTCCAGTTTCCTTGTATATGGTTGTTTACCTCATTTAATCAAACTGCATATATTCTTTTTCTTCCTAACCAGCCTTTAATTATTCTTACTGCTTCAGTGTCCTTAATTAACTTGTAAGTAATATTTTCAGAATTATTAAATGACAAATTCATTGGCATCTTTGAAAAGGGGAGTTAGATCCTTGTATAAGCTCTATATTTTTCTGAATATCATACTAGTCAAAATAGGCACAGGCACCTTGCTGGGAATTGATTTCTGCAGTAACTGCATTGGGCCTCTGAAGGTATTCAGGAAAACTAAATTTCTCATCACAACTTCCCTCTCGTAAAGTAAATATTTTCATTAGTCAGCAATAATTAAACTGTTCAGTAAGATATTAAATGGGAAAGCTGAAAAAATAGTTTGTATTTTGTAACTTGAAAATATAAATTTAAATGTGAATGTTCAGTTATTAAAATAATTACATTCATATACATGTTGAAAAGCAAGTTCTGACAGGTAAGACCAGACAACCTTAGATGTCAACTGTAAGTAAAGTAGTAGTTTTTTTCATCTTTCTCAATTTGTTCAATTCTCTATGGCATCTCACAGTTTAGAACCATTATTCTCTCTTCACGAAACATCTTGAATTATAAGCTACTTCTTTGACTTTCATGGGAAGTCTTTAGAAGCCTTTTTAAAACAGTATTTCACATCTATCCAGGAATTATATTTTCCTATCCTTGTAAAAAAGTGTGAGTTAAACATTCTGAAGTTGTTTGCTAGGCATTTTCCTTCAAAAGCTTCTCTGACTATATTGTTTTTGTTCTATATACACTGCATTAATATAAAGGTAAAGTGGTATGTGACTCATAGTCTTGAATAACCCTATTCAAGTTGACAAGAATCTTTCTCCAGATTGGCTTGTATTATAAAGATTTTAAGACTTTAGTGATCTCTTTCTAAGTTAATTCTCAAATAGCGTAAGTAGATGTCTCCTACTTTAAAAAACCCATAAACCCATAAAGCTAGGTAAGTGTAGATGATGAAACAGAAAAGTTATACCGGAACCCCTTGGTTCTATATCAAGATAACAAGACAGAGCAGCTACAAAAGCAAAGGGGTGCTACTTCTTTTACTCAGATCTTCTTCTCTGGGAGGTTAACCAAGTGAAAGCTGTTTGACTCTCTATATACTATTCATATTTTTAATACAGCTGCTTCTAATAATTGAAATGCCTCTAATACAATTTGAGGGAAGAAGATACAATAAAATGTCCATTTGCAAATGTTCACAGCCTTTCCTGGCACAGACCCAATACAAGAAAAAACACTGGAAGATAAGCACTTTAATTTGAAGACTTTAATAATTGTTTGATAAGAAAATGTAAGTCCTTAAGCAGCTAACAGATTATCACAGTAATAAACGGTTTTCTCAATATCCTCCAAACTGAATTTCTCAGGAAGAACAGACATGCTAGCCAGTATTCTGAATAGACTGCATTCTGTCAGTATTCTGAATAGCCAAATGATCTTCATTCCTTGCTCTCCTATGTCACTCATTTTATGTTCTAACAAAAGCATATACACAAATGATTCACATTTTAATAAGGCCCATGAATGCTGGTAACCATACACGAACCACACGTGCTATTTAATATTGTTTTTGAGTACAGAAAAATAAAATACCTTGAGGTTTGGAGCAGAAATACAAGTGATACTTTCTAATATCAGTAACCAATTTCACTTGAGAGTTCCATTATCACAGCATAGGTTTCATTTTTATTACTAACAGTCTTTATTTATCACAGTAAAAACAGGCTGTTAACCACAGAAAGTAAAATTCATCATGAAAGTTCTGGTTTTGTTTAGGAATCAGACCTTTTCAATTATTCTGTCAAATAATAAACTCTGGTTATCTATGTGTGACTTAAAAGAAACTGCACGTGTTTTAAATGCAAAATATTTCCCGTAGTATCTACCAAAGCTATACATACCTGAAGAACATGTGCTATATAGAGTTAGAAGCCAAGGAAAAAGGGTATTGACAATGCTGAGACCAGCTTCCTGCCCAGAGGATCAAGTAGTGTAAGCAGAGTAATAGTACTGCTTGCATGAACAGGCAAAAAATCCTTATTGACTATCTGCAAATGGAAATTATATGTATATGAACATAAAAAAGTGAAAATTAAAACATAGAAAGGCATACAAAATACAAGAATACATCTACTGACGAATGATACCTGCATTTTGGATGATTTATCATCTGTTAGGAATATCCAATTTCATATCCACATTCCAAATTTATTTTTCAAATTACTTCTTAATATTCCAGACTATTTACTGAGTGAAGCCAACCATTATGAAAGAAGATAGATGTAAGAGCATCTGGATGACAGAAACTTTTTGCCTAATCTGTTTGAAATTGCCAGCGAGGAATATGCTCCAGCATCACCTGAGAGTCTGGTTCCAGTCTGTCCTTGTAGTTAGAAGCATTTTCCAAATATGTAACCTGTTCTTTTTCACTGTAAATTAAGATATTTTTTTCTTGTCCTTCCACAGGGAAGGTACAAAAGACAATTGATAATTGTCTTCTTCACAATAAACTTCAAATGTTACATTTTTTTTCTCAGTCTTCTCTTCTCTGGACTACATCAATACAGTTCTTTTGAAACATGCTTTATAAATCTTGTTTTCCAAAAACCTTTTCATTCATGTGCTCTCCTATGGATTCACCTTTATCAGGAAACAACCTTCCTTTTCCAGACTTTAACACAGAGATACAACAATTTTATTCACTGACTTTTACTCTGGCTATTTTGCATGAGCATTCTTTGATTTTGCTTCATCTATTAAACTAGGTAGGTTCAATGTTATTTAGAATTTTGGGGTGCTGAAGAGCAGTAGGCCCCACAGACCCTTCAAACACAATATCTATCTCTTCAAGAACTTTTTTTGGCAATCAGTAATGACATTTACTTTTCTTTGAATGCAGAATAAATCACTTGTTATTATTACTTTTCTTCAAAGAACTGGATAGAAGAGGGATTTTGTATACTTCCTATACTTAAGTAATATATACTTCCTATACTTAGTAATACTTAAACTTTTATATTAGCTGCTAGAACAAGAATTATAATACTCTCACATAAGCAAACGGATGATCAGGCAAGCACAAAGCTAGTTTTCTTTGAGGATCAAGCATAACAGAAAGATTTGACTCAAAGTCTCTCTGTTGTCTCAAAATAGATAATGTCTGGTCAAATTGAGGTAGGAGGATATTGCTAGTTGAAGTGTACTATGGAGTATCTTTTTGATGTTTACACAATTAGTCATTCATAGTGGAAGTATGTCATGTTCTGCATTGTTTTCTATGAGTTTTATCTGAATAAAGCAGAAATATTCCGAACCATGAAAAGTAAAACAAAGGATATAAGATAATAGCAGGTGAAGTAGTGTTCTGCAGTGGCCGTCTGTCTTCAGATTTATTTCCAGATGCCTGCCTTTAGAGAATTGAGTCTCCTTACATTTTTTAACCTGATACAGTATATGGCAGGAATCTCCAAATTATTTCCTTGGAAAGATGAACAACCAACCAACCAACCAACCAACCAACCAACCAAACAAACAAACAAACAAAAGTGAAAACCTGGGCAGCAGTTTATGACATCTAGCCCAGTTTTTCTGCTTCTTTGCTCTACTTCGCTTGCACGGGCTATGCAACCATACCATAGTCACATATGAAAGTTCTAAGAAGTGGTTTCTATGGTTTGGTTTTGCTTTTTAATATGCATATCGTTTATTCATAGGGTACTTTCATAATGAATTCCTGAAATTCACTAGTTGTTCTTTGTAATCTAGTTTATCCATCTGCAAAACATCCAAATCCCGTGACACCCAGGTGTGCTCTCAATATACTAAATGAGTAAATAGGCTTAAGGGCTCACAGCAGCATTACACTCCTGCTCAGAGCCACCCACTCCCCATCTTGGGAAAAGCCTTTTTACAATTCTTCTGCTCTTCAGACAAAATTCTGAGATAGCTTCCAGCAGCTCCTAAAACCTATGTGCTCCTACTTCTTTGGGAAACATAGGCAAAACCCCAACAAGTAATTATCTAAGCAGGAGTGATGGGCATAGAACATATTTAGAATGGAGAGAAGCAGTTTATGAACACTTCTCTAGCAGACAGTTGTACCTGCACTATCTGGTAAAACATTTTTCAGAATCTCTTTTCACAGAAGTCTTAAAACTATTTTCCTCAAAACAGGAACTACCAGTTCTGTCACTTTAGACATTAGGTTTAAAATATGTAATATATTCAGAGAAAAGTGGACAACTTCAAACATGTTGTTTGGTTGTTTTATGTCATTTTCTAAAACTATGCTTGAGGGGATCAGAGTATTATAATTTCATATAATGCATTTGCATTTCAAAATTACAAGGTCATTATAAGAAAGAACACTTTTCAGCTATGTGTGTAAGACGTGACAGATTTACTTTATATTTTTCTCCATCTATATGTCTATATTTACTTTATATTTTTCTCCATCTATATGTCTATAATTCTACCTATGCTTTTAACTTCTATTATCTTGATTTTATTAACGAATCTTCAATTATTTTAAGAATCAATTCCTATTATTCACAAGAACATAACTCTGCTGAAGCCAAAGCAATCCAAAGGTGCAGAATCGCACATTCATACTGCAGAAGTGGTATTTCCCAGCCTAATTCCCCACTGTGTTGCACATACGGTTGATATCAATACAGTAAAGCCAGAAGAGCCAGTTAGTTTCTCCAGAAAAGCTGCCTGTGCTTCTGCAGGACTGCTTTTCCAAACACATGATCTACAGGCAAATTTATTGCTGAATAGTTATGATGGTCTATTTGCTTCCCAATGTTCCATTAAGAATAATGTCCTATTATTAAGAATTGTTTCCAAACACCTACTTCAAACCTTCTTTCTCAACTTCTGGCCATTTTCCTTTGATCTATAGCACCCTAAAATTTTGCCCAATTTATTTATTTCTGTGATTTATGTCCTCAGCACTCACCAGAGAAGCCTATCCCCTTTCAGAATCTGCATAGTTTTTGAGTTTTTATTCCTCTCTTTACTTCTGAGTTACTTAAGGGACAACATACAACTGAATGCTAACGCATCCTGTTCCAACATTGTCTGCCTTGCCACATTTTCTCTTCCCTTTTCTTCCCTTTTTATTTTCTGTCTTTAGATTTAAGCAGTTAATCCCAGATCACAATGTAGTCTGTGAATGTAATTTTATTTCCCCTTTTTGTGCATCCTGCACATAGTTTTCTACAACCTGTAAAATTAGAAATTATTGTGAAAATAACAGGTGACCTCACTAGGTCAAAATCTGACCTGGAATCTAGTAGTAATTACATCACATATTGGAAATCTATCCAAGTAATACAGACAGTATGTTAATCCCAAGATACTATTGCATATCCCTTTTTGAAATCTGTATAAATATTCAGTAAGCACTTATCCCATCATGTGCACAATGAGGTCACTATATTGAAGTGTGCCCACTTCAGCATCCGGTCCTTCTCACAAGTCTCAGAGTAAAACACCATACACAAATGCTTTATATTTTAGGCTTTTATCCTATGAGAAGGCCCACATAGGTGGGACCCAAACTGCATTTTAATAATGAACTAAATCTGTTTACCCAATTTCTCAGCCTCTGAGGAGGAACGAATCTTGGCTACCACATGTTACCTCCACTGGGCAGAATAGGGATACAGAATCTGAACCCTGTAATATTTTCAGATATTTTTCTATACTTTCAATTACCATTTTTCTTTGCTGTCTCTTCAACCACCTTTTCAAATAACTGCTCTGATTTGTAAACAGTGTCTCAGATTTCCTTTTATTCAGTATTACTCTATTAAGCAATTGAAAGAAAGAGAAAAATTGGAAGTTGAATACATTTGAAAAAGAAATATCTAATGTTTCCTTAAAAGTTCCACTTATTTCAGGTTATTTTAGCAAAAGTATATCAAGCAGATAACTAGGCTCTCTCATATAGCATGACATGTTCTGAGCTTTCTTTCCTTTTAATTTTATCTTGCATATCAAGCTTAAAGTTCCCATTTCCAGTTCTGTTTTCTCCTATTTCCTACTTCACTAAACATTTATTTACAGTGGAATCTTGTTCCCATTCTATTGCAGTGTTATTGCTGAACCAGATTTCTGCTGCTACTCTTCAAACTCTACATTTCTGTCAGTGACTTTCACAGTATGTTTACCCTTTTATTAAACTGGAAGTATTGTACATTCAGAAAGTCACTCTTCATTTTAGTTCAGAAAGTTCATTCTTTATTTTAGATCTAGTACCTTTTTTTTCCTTATAGCTATCAGATCCATGACTGAATTAACTCTTATTATTTTTCCCAGTTTTAAGTACCTTACAAAAATATCCTTCTGTTGTCTATTTTGAGACAGTTCTCGCATTTAATTCACATTCCTCTTTCACAGATTTTCGTGTTTATTTTCATATACAAAGCAATATGTGGGTGTATAATATACATATAATGTGTGTATATATATCATAATCATAGAGATACTCTTAATCCTAGACAAAGTTAAATGAAACAAACCTTTAATACAATCTTCATTGATTTTGCATCTTCCATTTTCATTCGTGAAATTACTTCTGTGTTTGCCAGCCACATGAACCGCAGGATCTGTAAGCACGGTGGTTGTTTTATAAATTATGCTTCCCTCACCTTATCTTCGTCATATAGCAACAGATAGTTATATTCTATTTATTTCTTAGCCAGACTTCTTTGTAATGTGATCAAAGAAGATTTCATGGAATTTGTAGTGGTGCTTCTCCTCTCAAGACCACATGTACCTAACCTGTGTTTTTGAAAAGAAAGATCTAATTTGTCACTATTATTTCCAGTAGTACTTCATAGATGAAGTATGTTTTCACATCTCAGTGCAGCAATATTCACTCAACTTTCTTTTCCTCTTGCAAGTGTTCCCTGTGGTTACACTTATTTGCTGAAAAATCCTTCCTGTTTTTTTAGTATTTCCAGCTATGCTTTCCTCACTGTTCTTCATATATTTAAAAAAACAGACATTTAAACTGGTTGTTTTAACTAAGACATTATCACCCAAAAACTGCAAATCAAACATATACAAACTTGAGTGTAAAAATAATGTTCTCTTCAAACAACAACTAACTTTTAGATTAGTAGTCCTATAAAACAAGCAACAGTTTTCTAACCTAACAAGCAGTATCAATACAGTACTCTCAAAACCAAATTTTCTAGAACTATGCTTATTCAGATCAGTTTGATGTACTTCCTTCATACAATAATATGGCACTGTTAGAATTTAATTATTTCTCACTATGAGTAAGACCTTATTCCATAATTACTTTACTATAAAATGAATACAAGTATTAAGTAAGGGACTATTTCAGGATCTGCACTGTATTATATAGTCAACAGGACGTATCTTCAGTAAGCAGTGGTGACTTAACTTTGTTTTACATGGCTTTTAATGTTCCTTCTTTTGTTATGGATCATCTTCATGTAGATCATTTTTACAAAATGAGTTGCAGTTGATTCATTCTAACATAAAACTTACTGCTATTACCGTGCAACACACTCATCATCAGTGTAACTGGTTTAGAGATTCCAAATTTCCTCTGCTTTCTAATCCTTGTCTGTAACGTCACCCTCATACTCAGTAAATTAATCTGACAAATAAGGTGGTTTTTAATAGGCTCAAAATTACACAAAGTCCTGCTCATAACTACACCAGTTAAAAACTTTTAGGCACTATAAATTACATTCTCAGCCACACCTCAAATAATTTTCTAGTAAGTTGCTATTATTACTGTTATTGCAAATTACTGTGGGTGTCAGAAGAGTTCTCAAAATCATATTTTTCACATCTAAATTGAAAAGTTCTGAACTTCACTATTTAAGTTTTATCATGTACTTGGTATTCCTTTTATTGCAATCCAAAGAATTCAGATTATCTATAGAACATTTACTATAGCTAATAAAATATGTAGGCAACCACTCTTCAGTAAGCATTATCTTTTACTTAATATTTCTGCTATAACAAAGCATGATGTGCAGAATTTCTCCTGACTTTATGGATGCCAATATTTTAGTTGTTTGGGTTTGGTTTTGGTTTGGTTTGTTGCTTTAGATTTTTTTGGGGGTTTGGTTTTGTTTTTTTACTTTAACTGCTTATATTACTTTCAATACAAAGCATTCTTTCCATTAGCATTTCTCTTTATCTGCAAATAAAATCAGAAAACTTCTGCCATACTCTTCATGACTGCAACATGTTTACTTTCATTCGGATGGTCTTTTTGAGTCCACATTTTTACAGGAATGTTTATCTCTGTCCATAATTATTATTCCATTGATGTAGGAGGCAAGGTACTTTGATTCTATGAAGGCATATGTGTCATAAAAAACTTAGAATGCTGTCACTGAATTGTTAAGTTTCTTATCTGGTTTACCGAAAGTGCTAAAATAGCAGATCCATCCAGTGTCTAGAAGTAAATATATTCTTGCATATATACGATCATGCTTAAGGCAGTACTTTAGGCAAATGGATGCACAAATGGGAGAAAAATGGATCAGTATTGAACCATAAGAGTTAGGAGAGGTCAGTGCAGAAAGGAACAGGAAACTTAGGTTAACAAAAGGAGCAAGAAAAAAAAAAAAGGGAGAAGAGAGAGAAGTCAAGAGAAGGAGAGGACTTTAACAGGTATAAATCAAGAAAATAGGGAGGAATTTCACCTTTTAATAAGTTAGACTTTACCGGTACACAACTTTGTAAGTCTATCTCACGTTTTGTGAGCCAGGTAGCACTCAATTTTTAAAATAAAGACTAATGCTATATTTTTTTAAAGTTAAATGTCTTTAATATGGATTTTATATTCTTCACATTTGATTTTACATTTCTACAAACACCTTTAAATTATAAGTATGTTAGGAAACCAGCACATTTTATATGAAGATGGAAGAACAATACTTCTTGACTATTCAAAACCATTAAAAATTCCATGAGTGCCATGTTCTTCTTTTTCTATGTCTTCACTACAGTACTATCTCTCACAGAAAATACTGGTATCAGCATCAAAGGAAAGGTTCAGCAATCTTCCATATCAGAAGTTAGGACAATACTCTCAACATGGAAGGCAGGATGGTCAGAGAGGTAGCAAGCGAAAAGCTTCAGAAGGAATGGTAGCTAAAAAGAGTCAGGAAAAAGAAAAAAAAAAAAAAAAAAAAGGAAATATAAGATAACAAATTGAAAAGATCAGGAAACAACAAAATACACAGGAAATAGCAACAATTGCGCTTATTCATTTTAGAAACAGTACAGAAGAACACTGACAGAAAAGGTGAGGAATAAGGCAGCCATTCTTAAAAAGAAAGAGTTCTTCAGAAACGAGCTAGTATGGTATGAAATGCTCTGTTATTCCTCTCTTAAGGTGACAGGCCTCTCTTAACTTTTAATTTGAGCTAGTCAGTTCAAAGCAGGATTCCTGTGAAGTCAGTACACTGAAACAGGCACCTCCAGAGGGCGATTCATCCCATCCTAAGGTCTGAATCTTACTCTGAATCACGTATTTGAAATGTAATTAATTTTGTGAAGTTCACTAGGTATTTGTGAACCTAGCAGTATATATTTAAGCTTAATTCTATGGATAACAACATGTATATTAAAATAATATGAGAAACAGCATATTTTCAAATTCCTTTACTCTGAACAAAGCAAATTTACTAATGACTTTCATCTGCATAGAATATGTAATAGGTTTGTGTTGCTTAATATTTTTTATTACTGAACATTACTCATGTTCACTATACTGAGCACAAAAATTAAGTCTGACCCAAATAAAAGAAAGCTTGCTTTTCTATTAGGACTAATTAGGTAATCCTGGGACTTAATCTGCTGTAAGTAAAAATTTAAGCTCAATGTCACTGGGATTCTCTATTACCAGCATTAAGACGTGATACAGGCAATATCACATTTAACTCATACTTACAATGGCACTGCTGCTATTGCAATAATTTGTTACTAAATACGGTAAATACTGTTGTGAAAAAAAAACACTGAAATCCTCTGTCATGGTCATGGACACTTACATTATAATGGCTGTTTTAAAAGAACTATAATTAAATACAGGAGTCATGGGTGAAGGGCTGGTTTCAAAGTCCATATATAGCCCAGTCTCTATTCAGGAAGCGTCAGTGTGGAGAAGGCCTATGGGGACAACCTGTTCATACCACCTTCACCAGCTTGCCAGCCCAGACACAAAAAACAAGACCCTGCTCTTACAGAACTGCAATACCAAAGCTTAAATAACCAGAGAAGAGGATGGAAAAGGGAAGCTTTCATCCTGGACACTGATCTGGGGCTGGAATATACACCAAAGGGACAGTTCACAATCTGCACTTCCTTGCTAGTATGAAAAGTCTGACAGAAATAATCCTGGGACTCTGCAATTCATACCTCACTGGAGACCTATGCATACAACAGTCTTCCACTGATGACTATTTCAGAATACAGTCATCCTGATACTGCCTATTACATGAGGACAACATAGAGCTGTCAATTACAATGCAATTAAAAAGACAACTTTAAAAACTGAAATCTAAATATCACACTTGAAATGTGATTTTGTACTGAAGAATTTACATAATCTAAACAATTCCAGAGTCATGTAACAAAATAGTGTAACACTAACGCAAAACAACAGCAAGGTCTAATTATAAAATACAGCATGAAGCTACTGTTTAGAAGTTCAAAAATTTGTATCTGTATTTAATTTCATTTTCATTTTTGAGTGAACATAAAGAGGACAGCTATGTCAGTTTCTGAGTATTCGTATATTCACTGGGTGCTCTTAAAAACTGTTGCTCAGTGAGTGATGCACACTGCACAGGAAAGGGAACCCTATCAGACAGCAATTTATAGCTTACTTCTTATGCAGACCTCTCTATTACCAGAAATTCATGCACCACCTTCCAAAAAGCACATGCTACCTTATAATCTCCAAAATCGTTTGTGAATTGGCACCATAAGGCCTCTCCCTGCTCCACCTATTTTCACTCTTTCAGTCCCCAGAATGAGGATAGAAATGGGGCAGCTTTAGAGGGGATATTACTCTGCTATACATTGGCTCAGGGCTCAGTTATATTCAAGTGTTGCTCAGGTGGAAAGTTAAGGCATCATACACATACTACACCAAGTGAATATAAGAAAACGGGAGGTCCCTATCTCTGTATTTAAAAACAAGTTTTTAGCATGGTAACTCATGAAGACCAGTTACAGTTACTATGTAAATATTACTTGCTTAGTTTTCAAAGTACATAATTTCCCTAAACAGTTACTGCACTATAATACCGTATATACTCCTGGGTATCATACATGAACAAATTATTTAATTTGAGCTTTTCTTTCCTATTTCCTAATTAATTTTCTCTTATTACAGCTTATGGATAAAATCCACACACTGATGTCTAACCTGTAATGAAAGCTGACGTAAGTAATCCATTGTTTTACAGCTATATTTGGTGATGAATTAATTGACTTTACCTAGTTTGGTAGAATAATGGTTAACAATTTTGATTTTCAATTTCAGCATTATTACAATTAGGTTTTGCATGCAAATTTTGCTACTCTTAAGTGTTACTGCCAGCCCACCTGCCTGTGCCCTGCCCCAAATCGTAGTGACTAGAATTAACAGAAGTATATGTAAAAAAATGGCTTTGATTTCTTTATGTCCAATAGTGGGTTTTTTAAAAGCTAACATTGGGTAGTCCTCATTTTCAATGCATTTTGTGACTCAGAGTAGCTCTGAGTGTCAATTTAAAGCCTTCCTTAGAAGCAAACATGCACAGAGAGTACAGCTCAGCACAGCAGTTATGTCAGAAAGGTGAAGTCTCAAACTGTTTTCCATGCAAGCATAAAGGATGACATGTACGAGTACTAAACACAAACTATTAATGTAAATACTTACCTGACTCCTCCCCTCTCACCCTGTTATTTCTCCTATGCTCATTACACTGTTTTTCGTCTTTCCCTTCCTTCTGCAAAGGAAAAGAATTTCCTCTTCTCCATTTAAGTTTCTTCCTTTCACATTTCTTTTTCCTACCCACCTCCACAATTTCTGAAATTCCCAAATTTAAAAGGGCTATGGATCCAATCCTGGGGTGAAATACCAAGTCCTGAATTTTTCAGAATGGCTGAAGATCAGTAACTTGAATTTTAAATGTTTGTGTTCTCTCATTTTCAACAATGATATAAAATCACCAGAATAAAATTTAGCAATGAAAACATATTTGGATAACTGTAATCTTAGAATGAGATCACCATTCTGTGAAGAGCTCTGCTCATACAGCAAAACATAATGATTTTTACCAATTTGGTAGTATATTATTATCTCTGATACTTTATTTTTATGCTTAGCTGTTATGAGAAGCCCACGTACACTTTTCTCCTTTAGTAGCCATTTTAAGTGATGCACTGAGTGCTTCAACAAATGAAATGATTCATGTCTTTAAATACTTTACAACCAGCTCGTGATAAGATATTTAGGAGGAGATAAAAATAGCTAAAGTTAAGCCTAGCATATTGTACATAAATGTAAATATTTTTTTCTCCTGTAGCAATTCATAAACAACATTTATTACTTGTATCCATGACATACATTTTTAGATGCCAGCTCTTCTAAACACAAAATCCATCTTCACAAGATTTTTTTCCAAGTAACTTAATCGCTATTATATCAAATGTTGTTTCACACATAGTATCAATATTTGATGTTTTACTGACATGATAACAGAAAGTCAGCCCAGTATAAGTGACTTTGTAGAGGATAGTGCCAAAACTTCAAGGCATTACCTCTCAGGAATCAAGAGCTCCAGCAGTCTTGAAAGATAAAATGATATACGGCAAGAAAGAGTAGAGCCAGTTTTTAGGGATCAACATTGACTAACTGAAAGAGGGATCTCTATATCCACCATAAAAATCTGCCTAAGAAGGAAGCACCAAAATAGTTTTCCATTAAAATGCACCCTCTAACAAACAATTTTATTACTCTTATGGTGATTTTGCTGCCTAACCTGTCTGTATTGTTTGATGCTGAGAGGCTTACTAATTAATAAATGGATCTGAAACTTTTACAGAAATGATGCTTCTGCCTAGCTGAGTTTAGTCACAGACATAAGTATGCAATCATATATTAAGAAGGAAAGCTTAAATAAAAGCTTAAGACTTATGAAAAGCTTTGTGGCAAAAAACAAAAAATAAAACTGCTGCATTAAAAAAAACATCCTTGCATTTAGGGATGCCCTAAGACGCTGGCTTTCAATCTTTCTGCAGACTCTTTAGTCTTTGTGAACAACTTCTAAGGGAGTGCAAAATAATAATAAAGTAAAGCAATCATCCAGTGATTCAACTGGTGATTCAACTTATCACCAGTAGGTGCAATCACCCACTGATTAGTTAACTTATTTTTGGGAAGGTCATAGATCACAGAAAAAGGCAAATCAAAGGGACCATGCTTTAGAAATCTGAGATGTCTTTCTGCTGTTTAGCAAGAGAAACATTATCCAAATAATCATAATTCAGCATCTGAAAAAAAACCCACATTCTAATGAGTACTACACAGAGAGGGTAAAAAAAAAAAAAACCAAGAAAAAACCAAGAAAAAAACAGTTCACCTATGATCAGCAGATTTCAGATGACAGGACGTGTTCCCCTTGGAGAATATGCAAAGTGTATGTTGGAAAGGAGAGACATTTTGCACCCAGCACTTTCACAGCATTCTCACTCGAATTCCTTTTACCTCAGTACTGGTGAGGCTGTACCTCAAATATTTTGTTCAGTTTTGGGCCCTTCACTATAAGAGAGATATTGAGGTGCTGGAGCGGGTCCAAAGACAGGCAACAGAGTTGGTGAAGGGTCTTCCAACTTGAGTGGCTGAGAGGACTGGGGTTGTTCAGCATGGAGAAAAGGAGGTTCAGGGGACACCTACTGCTCTCTACAACTATCTGAAAGGACACTGTAATGAAGTAGGTGTCAGTCTCTTCTCCCAAGTAGTAAGTGGCAGGACAACAGAAAATGGCCTCAAGTTTTGCCAAGGGAGGTTTAGATTGGATATAAGGAAAAATGTCTTCATCAAAAGGGTTGTCAAACATCAAAGCAGGTTGCCCAGAGTGTTGAAAAGTGTAAATGTGGCATTTTGGAACATGGTTTAGTGGTGCACTTGGTAGCGTTAGGTTTGTGGTTGGCCTTGATCTTGAGAGGCCTTTCCAACCTAAATGGTTCTGTGATTCTATTCGGTGATTCATTGTCTGCCTGCATGTGCAGTGGAGAACCCCATAGGCTGGAGACAGAAAAAAGTGTAGTGGGACAGAAGAGAGGCTTTAGATGGGACGGATTTCTGGGACCATTTGTACTTTTGTGTGTAACTGTTCACAGAGTAAACAGGAAAGTAGGTTTTCCAATTAAAAGGGTCATGTGCAGGAACTGGAGAAGAAGCTGGCATTCTGGAAGAGACAGGGAAGGGTGTAGCTAGGGCAAGTGTAGCATGAGCTAGATTCAGCTAGAGAGCTTTAGCCATGTTATGCTGTTAAGTGACTTCCAACTAACCCTAATATGTTTATCCAATCGTGACCTCTCCAGCTCTTACAGAAAATCTGTTCTGACTCCTGAATTCTTCATTCACAACACACTCATCCCTGGCCTACCTGTACACCCATCACTGCTTCTCTATGCATGTGGCATGCATAGGCACATGAATCTCTCCCTCCTGTCACTTGCAAATGACACAAGAAATAACCTGTTTCCTTGCTACAGCAAAAGGCACTCTCTCCTCCCTTACGTGGTCTTTTCTGATACAAGGCAAAGATTCCCCTCCATCTCATATTCTGCTAGCAGCTTAAGCCTGAGCAAAGACAATTTCCGAATCATACAAGTTAGCAACAGGTATTCAGCAAGATAATATGAAAACATCCACAAATGTTTTCCATTACATTTTCCATATGTATCAAAACACGTAAGAAACATGGAACAAAAAAAAGTTTACACAGAGCCTGCCAACTTTTTTTAGCTCCTTCTAAAGCACTATTGCCAGTAACATTTGTTTCCAGTATTTCGTTTGAATTCCATAAAATACACTACAGTACTATTAGATTAGACAAACTGGTTTCAAGATAAACATATTTATACCATTTGAATAAGGCTTATAATTTGGCATTTCTCTAATTTGAAACCATCATAATTCCTAACATAAAGAAGTACAGAATGTTGGAGAAGACAAAATCTCCACAAATTAATTATGGATGTGCTTGTATTGTACTCGGGACAATGGGAAGTAACCTATGTCAAGAGCAAGTAAAAGCACTGATAATAGAAATACTGTATGAGTTTGGAAAAGTTTCACTAAGAAAAAAAAAGTAATAAGAGACCTGATATGAGGACAAAGATTTCTACAACATAAAATTACCATTCAGGGAGCTAACATAAAATAAATGAAGTTGGTCAAATAGAACTGAGATTTCTTTAAAAAATAATAAACAGATATTGTAATTAGATGTGCTAGTACTTGAAAGGAAAGTTTATGTTAATAAGGACAGAACAGAAAATGTAAAAATCTCTTTTTCTGGTCATAAGAAACCAGGTATTAATTCAAAGACATACATGTTTTAAACTAGTGGAGCTGTCAAGTTTAATCTTCCCCTGAGGAGGACCTAAGACTTGAAAAAACTATACTCACTTCTCACAAAACTAAAAATACTATGTATGAGTATTTATGAATATGAAAAGTAGGTGTAGCAAATACTTTTAGGGATACTTAAGAACGACAAAATGATTGTTAACCCCACAGTCATGTTTCTGGGGAGGGCCTGGTGGGGACAGAATTGTTAATGCTACCAGACTGCTCTTCTGGCTCCTTTCTGGGAACCTCTTGCTGTTGCTGGTGGAGAGCCATGCAACCTATCTAAAGCTAGAGTGGGGGGGTGCTCTCTACCTTTTCACACACTCCAGAACAGTGATTCCCATATTTCTGGAACAACGGATCATTATTACCCCTTAACATTTTTCAAAACGCATCACAGACCCATCTGATCAAACTTTTAATAGGAAACACTATTTAAAACACTGTTAGCTATGGTTTAGGCAAACAGCTGTTCAACTTACCATAGCCTTGTAGTCCACCAGGGTTTGTGGGCCACAGCTTGGAAACCATTCCAGATGTTTCAAAGGCACAATGATGTCTTCTACTCCATCCCTCCCTCCAGACCTTCTGGTTGCTCTGTGAAACATTTCTACTTTGTCTGGTTCTTCCTGGGATTAATTTTATGGCCTGCTACTGTGTTTAGCCTTATGAAGTAGTAGCAAACTGGCATTCTCCATTGCCCACATTTTTGCAAACAACAGAAGTGAAACTGATCTATCTGCCCATCTATAATATTGCAACTGCCAGAAAAAGAACAAACAGAAGCTGAAGATAAAAAAATACCTGCAGAGCATTTTACATTTGATTAATGACTGAAAACTTATCGCTTATCAATGAGGAATACAACTTTTTATTTACAGAAAAGCAGTAATTCTGCACAGCTTGGATTTTGGCCAGAGCTGTTCAGGTCAAGTGGAGTTTTCAAGACCAGCTTGGAGTTTGTACACCTGAAAAGATCTATCCACGAAACTACAGCAGATAAAACTGGTGCTAAGCAGCCTTTTGCCATCTTAAAGATCACTTGAATTAAATAAAACAGCGGCCAAAGGCTCCTTATTATTCTGAGAAACAGGGAGTTACAGTCCTCTATTAAACACATGTATCCATAGTTCTAGAGACCTTTCTCATGTCACCTACTCCTCAATCAACATTACTCCGAACTGAGGAACCCTGATCCATACCTCTTAGTCAAGCTTTTCTATATCACATACAGTTCTCATCAAAGTTCAAAACTGACCGTCATGCCTGTGCCACTTTTCTGTCTCAAATACCATTTGCTAGCCACTTTTTGATAGCATCAACTACATTCAGAATAATTTTAGGACATCAGCAGGAGCTGCTAAA